GAAAAGGGTATATTCAGCTAATTTTCTATTCTTGTGTCATGTTTATGAATGCTAGATCCAGTTGAAAAACTGTTATAGTTACTGAATACATGAGCACAAACTTCATAGACAACTTTGGAGAGGGTGTAAGGTAAACATTACTCTGAGTATTCTCTTCCGTGCAGCAAATACATCATTTGCTCTAGAAGACCTTCCCCAAAGGCATGGTAGAGCATCATCAACTGATCATTAGACAGAACTGATCTCAAATTACATGATTGAGAGAAAACAAAATTCAATTTATTGATTGAGATTTCACAATGTTCTCCCCAGGAAAAATGTTCGTGTATATATAAACCAAAAAATCGGTCGATCTTATGTACCGCCTGTAAGTCACCGAACTCAACGACACTAACTTCTTTTCGTCTATTATGAAATCGTACACATTTTGTTTTATTTGTATTCAGCCTATACCCATCGACGTGTCGAGGCCTCAAGGGTTGTCATTACCACCTATGACACTTTTACGGTATTAACTATACCGGTGTTGTCCTATGCTGCGATGCAATATAGAAACCGTTGTGGGACATGGAGAATAATGAGTGCCAAATTCATTGGAAATACAAGCTAATAAGCATGATGAAGTTTTTCTCAACCATTAGAGCAAGACGATATACATCGTGGAAATATATGCTACAAATGAGACGGATATTGTCCAAACAGAAGAGAAAAAAGGAATAAAATATCGAAAAAAATTTATGAAAATTTTTCCGAATTCCGCAGACTTTATCCAGATCACACTGTTGAGGTGGTTGTTCTGATTATTGGAGTATTAGGAGACCTATCGAATTTCAGAATCATTTCGGACAAGTGCAGAAGGCTGCCATGGCCCTATGATTACATAACTCATGGAGTGGGAAGTGGTCATTGGTTGAAGAATGCTTGCGCGCCCTCCTGAATGTGTCTTGGCTCCCGACCAGCTCACCTATTGGTAATGATAATAATCGTAATAATAATGATAATATGCATGGTCCACGATGATGGGAGGGCCGCAATTGAAGCATTTCTCTTCAGGACAGCTGCGGTAAGCTTATGAACTCGCCCTCCTGAATGTGTCTTGGCTCCCGACCAGCTCACCTATTGGTAATGATAATAATCATAATAATAATGATAATATGCATGGTCCAC